GGGCCGGCCGGCCGGGACGACCCCAGCCCCGCTCACCGCCGCCTCCCGCAGACATCGACGACTGTCTGGGGCAGCCGTGTCGCAATGGGGGCACGTGCATCGACGAGGTGGACGCCTTCCGCTGCTTCTGCCCCAGCGGCTGGGAGGGCGAGCTCTGCGACACCAGTGAGTGGGCCTGCGCTGCCCCTTCGGTCCCCGCGCCCAGTGGGTCCCCAGCTCCAGGTGGTTGGTGCCCAGAAGGGACCTGGGCTGGGGGGGTGCCCCGCAGGTGTCTCCGCCCCTGTCTCTCCCCCGCCGCCCCCCCCCCCCCCCCGAGCGCCGGCGACCCCGCTGACCGGCGTCCTCGCCCCCAGATCCCAACGACTGCCTCCCCGATCCCTGCCACAGCCGCGGCCGCTGCTACGACCTGGTCAATGATTTCTACTGCGCATGTGACGATGGCTGGAAGGGCAAGACCTGCCACTCGCGTGAGTGTCCCGGGCCCTGGCGCGCAGGGCCGCCCGCCGCCCGGGCATGCGCACTGAGCGGCCGTGTGCCCACAGGCGAGTTCCAGTGCGACGCGTACACCTGCAGCAATGGCGGCACGTGCTATGACAGCGGGGACACCTTCCGCTGCGCCTGCCCCCCGGGCTGGAAGGGCAGCACCTGCACCATCGGTGCGTGAGCGGGCCCGGAGGGGGGCGGGCCCCGCGCTCCCAGACCACGGCCGCCGGCCCCGCCCCCTGGGCCCTGGCGCCTCGGGGTCTCGAGCGGAGGCCCCGCACCTGCCCGCGGGCCCACGACCAGCCTCTCTTCTCCCCTTCCCCCTTCACAGCCAAGAATAGTAGCTGCCTGCCCAACCCCTGCGTGAATGGGGGCACGTGCGTGGGCAGCGGGGACTCGTTCTCCTGCATCTGCCGGGACGGCTGGGAGGGCCGCACCTGCACGCACAGTGAGCTTGTGGGTGGGGGGCTGCAGAGGGAGGCCCTGGGGAATGGGCGCAGGCCTGTGGGGTAGGAGCCGGGGCCTCATTACTTGGCTCCTTGGTCCTGCTCCTTGCACCTGTCCGCTAAAGCCCAGCTGTACCCCAGGACCTCCGTTCCCAGCCCTGTAGCCTCACCCCTACTCCTGGTGAGTCCTGGGCGGTATCGCCGTGCTGGGCACTGGCTGCGAAGCCACACTCCTGCCCCTCACCTCCCTCACGGCCCCCAGCCCCCGATGGACTGCGTTCTCCAGGATAGGCACCCCCGTGACCCGTCCTCCTGGAGCTAGCTGCCCCGGCCTCCCCACCCGGGGTCAGTGGGCTGGCGTGGACAGTGCCCCCCAGGCCTGGCACAGGGGTTGCTGGGTGGGTGGATGCGGTGCTGACCTTCCTCTCTCTTCTCACACGCAGATACGAACGACTGCAACCCCCTGCCTTGGTGAGTGGCAGCCCTGGAGGCCGGCTGACCCCAGGGAGCTCGGCCTGCGGGGGGGCCTCCCTGAGACCTGCTCTCTGCCCTGCAGCTACAACGGTGGCGTCTGCGTCGATGGCATCAACTGGTTTCGCTGCGAGTGTGCTCCCGGCTTCGCGGGTCCCGATTGCCGCATCAGTGAGGGGCCCGGGGCGCCTGGGCAGGGAGGGGGGTGCTGCGGGGCCCAGCCCTGGGGGCTCCTTCCAGCCCGCCCGCTCGTCTGGGCCTCACCAGCAGTTCCCTCTGCTCAGCTGGGGGCTGCCCTGTGAGGGCAGGGGTCCCCGGAGGCTCCTGCCCACGCTGTGCCAGAGGCGCGTGGAGAAGGACAGGGGCAGGTGCTCATCAACGCCCTTGACCGCGGACAGAGCCGGTGCCGGCCGGCCCAGAGGCCCCGAGGGGCACACCAGGGGGCACACCGGGGCCTGGGCTGTCGGGGGCTCCACCGGTTTGCAGGGGTCTCCTCTCCTGGCCTGAGCGTCTTCTGGGCCCTGCGTGTGGGCGCTTGCCCCCTCGCTGCCTTCTGAGCCGGGCACTTTCTCTGCAGACATCGACGAGTGCCAGTCCTCGCCTTGTGCCTACGGGGCCACGTGTGTGGACGAGATCAACGGCTATCACTGCAGCTGTCCGCCAGGCCGGACCGGCTCGCGGTGCCAGGATGGTAGGTGGGGGGCACCGTGCCCTGGGGGGGGGGCGTGCCGGCAGGGGCGTGGGGAGGACCTGGCCTCCAGGGCCGGCCTGCAGATGCCCCCCGCTCTTTCTTCCCACAGTGATTGGCTTTGGGAGGCCTTGCTGGTCGCAGGGAGTGCCCTTCGCGCACGGGAGCTCCTGGGTGGAAGACTGCAACAGCTGTCGCTGTGTGGACGGCCGCCGGGACTGCAGCAAGGTGTGCGGCTGCCCGCGAGCTTCCCCGCCCCGCCTGCAACACCAGGGGGCTGCCGCTGGGGGCTGCGGAGAGCCGCGCCCACCGCCTCCGCCGGGCCTCCTGGGAGGAGGGCCCTGGGGCACAAGCAGGCCCTTCTCATTGTGTAGCTGGGGAAACAGCCTGCTGAAGCTCTGGAAGCTGCCGGCAGAGGCCCTGCCTCGCCTCGTCCTTCCTCGGGCCACCCCTGCCCTGGTGGGGGTCCGTTGTGGTTCTGAGTCCGTCCTGGGAGGCCATGCTGGGGCGGGGCACCCTGGGCCTTGCTGACCCCAAGCGCGTCTTTCTCTCCTGCATGGTGCCCGTGTGTGTCTGTGGGTCCTCGTCTGCGTGTGCCTGCGTCTGTCCCCTGTGCGTGACCCAGGTGTGGTGTGGGCGTAAGCCTTGCCTGCTGGCCGGCCGGCCCGACACCCTCAGTGCCCAGTGCCCGCCAGGGCAGCGGTGCCAAGAGAAGGCCCCGGGCCAGTGCCTGCAGCCTCCCTGCGCGGCCTGGGGGGAGTGTGGCACGGAGGAGCCCCTGCTCCCCAGCACCCTGTGCCTGCCGCGCTCCAGCCACCTGGACAACAACTGTGCCCGCCTCACGTTGCACTTCAACCGTGACCAGGTGCCCCAGGTGAGTGGTCCCGGACGGTGGGCACACTGAGTGCAGAACCCTGACGCCTGCATCCGTTCTCAGAGTGGCCACTCAGATGGCCTGAGGAACCGCTCAGGGAGCCTGGCCTCGTGGGGTCGAGAGGAGGGAGGGTTGAGCCCAGTGTGCACTCGGAATCCGGGCAGGAGGGCTCAGCACTAGGTGAGCCCCCCCTCCTTCGGGCCTGCGTAGAGCTCCTTCCGGCAGGAAAGCGAGGACCGGGCAGTGGGGACACCTCCAGGCCCCACCCACCCCGCCTGGTGGTGGCAGTCTGCGTCTTGGGGGGCGCGCAGGAGCGGACTAGGGAGTCAGCTCCCTCCTGGGCCCCCCGCGTTCCTGGCCTGCTCCTTGTGGGCCATAAGGTGTGACCTGCCACACGCCCGTGGGGCCAGCGGCAGGACGGGCAGCCTCAGGTCCACGGCCCCCAGGATCCCGCTCACGTGCTGCTCGTCCCTGCCCAGGGCACCACTGTGGGCGCCATCTGCTCTGGGATCCGCGCCCTGCCGGCCACGAGGGCGGTGGCCCGGGACCACTTGCTGGTGCTGCTCTGTGACCGGCCGTTCTCAGGGGCCAGCGCGGTCGAGGTGGCTGTGGTGAGTCCTGGGCCGACGGGTGGCCACTCTTGTCTACTTCTCCTGTTCCAGAGTCCCGTCCTGTCTCAGTTCTTGGGAGGCGCTGGGGACAGAGGCCCAGGCCAGGCTTGTCCCCAGGTGCTGGGGGGCATAGGGTGACCCAGGGAACCAGGGCTCGGTTCCAGTCTGGTTGTACGTTGGGGGACTGGTGCACCCTGTGCCCTCACTGGGGGCTGGTGGGACCAGGCTGGGCACGCGTACAGCTCGGTAGGGCCAGCATATACAGCCAGCCTGGCAGGGGGTGGAAGGCAGAGCTGGGAGGGCCTGAGGGGGCAGAGGAGCATCTGAGAGGGGACAGGGAGGACCAGGAGTCAGCTCTGGGCTGGCGGAGATGGTCGTTGGCAGTCAGTGGGGTCAGCTTCTCGAGAAGGAGAGGAGCAAGGGTGTAGGGTCAGGTCGCCTGTCCCATCTGAAACGAAGGAAGGGTCTGGGACAACTGGCGGGGGGCAGAGAAAGCTCATCTGCGGGTGAGGGGCGGTGCCCCACGAGGCGTGGAGGGAGACTGTGGGTGCAGGTGCCCGTAGGGGGAGGTCCTAGGAGGCCCGGTTCAGCCACAGGAACAGGCCACGGGAGCTGCCAGTGGCTGGCTCTCCGGCACAGGGATTTCGGAGGCAGTGTGGATGGAGTGGCGGCTGGGTCTCAGGTCTGGGGTCTGAGGCCATGGAGGCCAGGGCTCTGGGCAAGAGTCTCTGGAGCTGTGGGAAGCCCCCCAGGCAGCAGCAGTTGAGCCTGAGGAAGCTCGGAGAAGGAAGGCCCGTGTCCGGGCTCCAGGGTAGACGGTGGTAGGGTGTAGCAGTGGGGTTTCTCCTGGGCAGGGCCAGGGAGGCTGTGGGCCCAGGGCTGGGGCTGTGGGGGTGGGAGCCTTCTTCTGGAACCCTGAGTCCGAGCCAGGGGGCTGAGACAGAGAGGCGGGTTGGATGCCTGGGCCAGTGGGATTCTAGGTGGTAATGCTTCATCCTCACCGGGTCCCCTTGCTCTGCCTGTGTTGTATCCCTCAATGTCTGTGCAGGAAGGGTGCCCCTGGTTCAGGTCACCCTGGGATATGGGGTCCGGGCCACATCCATGTGGCTGAGCAGGTGTCCTCGGGGCCTTGGTCTGGGCCCTGGGCGGGTATCAGGTGTGAACGGGTAACTGTGAGTGTCACGAGGCTGGGCCCTGGGGAAGTGCGGGGAGAGAGAAGGGGAAAAGGCAGGGCAGATTCTCAGGGCACTGGCTGCTTGCCGCCCTTGGGGTGTCAGGGGCCGCTGAGGCGGAGGCAGGCACTGGGGGTGGTGAGGTTGTACAGAGCCCTGGAGCCCTTGGGTGCGGCCCGCTGGGGCCGGGCGCCTGCCTGGGAAGGATAGCCACGCTCTTCCCAGATGCAAGGGGGTCAGGGTGGGCCAGGCCACACCCGCCTCCCCTGAACCGTGTGGTTGGGGGCAGGCCTCCTGCAGGCCTCTCCTCCAGCGAGTCTCCCCACGAGAAGCCCCGGGGGCCCCCATGCCGCAGTCACCTGCCTCCCTCTCGGCAGCTGGCCGGGAGCCTCAGTGCTCCGTGGTCCGGGCGCGGGGCACGCGGCTCGTGCTGGCTCCTGCCACGGTGAGTGGGGGCCTCTCAGCGCGGTCTTCTGTCGTAGTCTTTCAGCCCCGCGAGGGACCTGCCCGACAGCAGCCTGATCCAGAGCACAGCTCACGCCATTGTGGCCGCCATCACTCAGCGGGGCAATAGCTCGCTACTCTTGGCTGTCACCGAGGTCAAAGTGGAGACCGTCGTCGTGGGCAGCTCCTCCGTGGGTGAGCAGGGCGCCTGGGGGCCTAGTGGGAATCGTTCCGGCACACGGCGGGGCCAGGCTGAGTGCAGGTGTGGGGCTCTCGGGTCCTCCGCCCTGCCCCCGCCGTCCCGGCCCCTCCCCTGAGCCCCTCCCCTGGGCCCCTGCCCCCCAGGCAGGAGCCAAAGGACGGGGCATGCAGGCGTGGGCACGTGCCCGGCCCCCGCACCCGGCCAGCCCTCTCATGCCCCCCCAGGTCTGCTGGTGCTGGTGCTGTGCAGCGTGTTCAGCGTGCTGTGTCTGGCGTGCGTGGTCATCTGCGTGTGGTGGACCCGCAAGCGCAGGAAAGAGCGGGAGAGGAGCCGGCTGCCACAGGAGGAGAGTGCCAACAACCAGTGGGCCCCCCTGAACCCCATCCGCAACCCCATCGAGCGGCTGGGTGGCGGCGGCCTGTGTGGGGGCCACAAAGATGTGCTTTACCCATGCAAGAACTTCACAGCCCCGCGCAGGGTGGGCGAGGCGCTGCCCGGGCCTGCAGGCCACAGGGAAGGCGGGGAGGAGGAGGAGGAGGAGTCCGGCCACGGCGAGGGAGACTGCCTGGAAGCCGAGAAGTTCCTCTCGCACAAATTCACCAAAGACCCTAGCTGCTCCCCCGGGAGGCCGGCCTGCTGGGCCTCGGGCCCCAAAGTGGACAACCGTGCGGTCAGGAGCGTCAATGACTTACGCCACGCCGGCAAGGAGTAGGGCAGGGGCCAGCAGCTGGGCCGGGACCCAGGACCCTTCACCGGGCGCCACGCCACCCGCCGGACCATAGGAGGCCGAGGCCGTGTGCATAGTTTCTTTATTTTGTGTAAAAAACACCAAAAACCAAAAACAAATGTTTATTTTCTACGTTTCTTTAACCTTGTATAAATTATTCGAGGACTGTCAGGCGGGAAACAATGGAGTATTCTCGGGTAGTTGCTATTTTTGTAACGTTTGTGTGTGTCACACTCACGTGGCAGGAGAGAGCGGAGGGTGTGTGTGTCCTCGCCAGCTCGTTTGTGGCCAGACGTGGTGCACTGTTTACAGAATCTTCCTCATTATTCCTCATTTGGCGTTCTCAGTGGCTCCAGGCCAAAGAGCCAGTGGGACACATGGCTGTTGGCGTGGCCCATGGCATTGGTGGGACCCATGGCTGTCAGTGTGGCCTGTGGCGTTTGGTGGGACAACCCAAGGCTACTGGCGTGGCCCATGGCATGGGTGGGACCCGTGGCTGACAGAGTGGCCCGTGGCCGTCGGTGGGACCCCCTGTGGCTGACAGCACAGCCCACGGTCGTCGGTGTGGCCTGAGGCCGTTGGTGGGACCTGTGGAGTGTGGCATGGCCCGTGGCTGTCGGTGGCACCTGTGGTGGTCAGTGGGGCTTGAGGTCCTCGCAGGGGCCCGCAGCGTTCGGCACGGCCCCGAGGCCCGCGGGCAGACCCTGGCTGGCTCGCCGGCCGGTCCCTTCCGCCCGCTGTCCTGGCCTGCTCCCGCCTGGAGCACCCGCTGTAGAGATCTTTCAACTGTGTTTCCGGAAGTGCCCTTCCCGACTGCTCTGTTCTCCCCGGGACGGGGGCAGTATCGAAGCTCGTGACAAGTGCCTTCACACAGACCCTCCCCTCGCAACTGTCAGCGTTTGCCGTGGGCTCTGGGCCGCTGCCCACCTGCTGGCCCCGGCCCCCTCCTTGTGAAAGTGCGTTTTTGTAAATATGTACATATTAAATGAATCACTCTGTATATTTGATTTAATAACTTAAACGTTTTGGCCTTCCTTGTTCTTTTTGGTGCTGTTCCTTGTTATCTGGAGGTGCGCAGGGAGGCTGGGGTGCAGGCTGCGTGTCGGGCCACGTGACCGTGGTGGCTACAGGTGGGGAGATGGCCGGCGGGCCCCGGGGGGCCACCCCTGGGTGCCCGAGGCCAGGAGCGCGTCGCTATCCTGTGTGGTTGACACGGGCTTGGCGGAAACGGTCCGGGAAGCGGGGGGAGGGAGGTGCTTTGCATCCCCTACTAAAAATGGCTATTAAAAAAAATGTTTCGTAAAACAGCTTAAAGTTGCTTATTAATTAAAAGCTATCAAAAGTTTGAGGAAATTACCAAGTCAAGCCTTGAGAGAATGAAACCACAAGGCTGAAGGCCGCCGTTCGCCTGCCTGGTGGGACGCCTCAGGGACGTCTACTGAGTGTCCCGCACGCGCTGTTTGCTCCCCCTCGAGGGGGCAGGCGGTCACTAAATCATGTTTTTAAGATGTTTATAAGAAACAAGGCCACGACTGCAGACAGCCCGGGGGTGGGCCGTGAGGGGCTGCCCGTTTACTGCTTCGCGGAGCCGTGGCTCGGGGCACCTGTCCCGCAGTCACGTCCCGAGAGCGTTGGTCCCTCCAGGCGGGGGCGGGGCAGCCGCAGCCCTCCTCCCGCCCATCTCCGGGGCTTGTCCCCCCCCCCGGCTCAGGTGGGACGCCTGCCTCTGGGACGGCGTGGTTTTGGCCAGTCCCGAGTGAACACGTGGCTCAGACCCCTGGGTGCCTGGGAGAAGTAAGCGCAGATGGCTTTGTCTGAGATCTCTAAACGCGTCGAAGCCACTTTTCAAGGTCAGGGACAGTGCAAACCCACGCACACGGGGGCAGGCACGGCGGGCCAAGCCGGCGGAGGCAGCCTGCCACACGGGTGCAGCTGGGGCTCGGACACAGGTCACACAGCCGCACATGCCACCGCTCACACGGGACAGGCGGGAAGGCTGCGTCTGGGACAGGTCGGGGAAGGGACAGAGCGCCGCCTGGGCCTGCGGTGGTGGCCCGGCGGAGTGTTGAAGGGAAGGAGGCAGCCTGGGCTGCCCTCCGCCCCCGCGTGGCCTCAGGCGGCCCCTGGCGGGAGCTGGAACACATCTAGAACCCGCGCCGCCCGCCGCTCGAGGAGCTGCGCCCTCTGCAGCCCCGATGGGCCCCACTCCGCCGCGGGCACCACGCGGAATCCGCCTCCGGTCCCCCCAGCCCGCGTCGCCCTGACGGTCCGAGTCCTCACTAGCGGACACGAGGAGACGGCAGGGCTGTGGCCGCTGGACCTGTCCCTGCCCGGCCAGCTGTCCGCCCAAGACAACGAGCACCTGTGCCAAGACCTGAGCCTGGGCCGGGGCCCGTCGTCCCCCGGCACTCAGCTCCTCTGCACCCACACAAAGCCTAACTCACCAGCCTCTGAGCAGCTGGTAAGTGGGGGGCATGCGACTGTGCCAAAGAAACCCACCCCCGAGGAAGTCCTCACGCCCAGACCACTGTGCCCCACAGGCAGGTGAGGCCCGGGCCCCTCTTTCCTGACTGGTTAGCTGGCACTGGGGCGGGCACGCTGCCCACGGCCCACGGCACCGGACCTCCGCGTCTCCCACGGGCGTGCACGCCAGCTCAGCCACCCTTCAGTCTGGTGGTGGGGCCCTGGCCGTGGCGCCTCTGTGACCGGGGTGCGTGGCCGGTTCCCATCTTCTCACCTTTTGCTGCCCTTGGCAGCTGCCGGCTCAGGGCCTCCCAGCCCTGGCCCCCGGGCTCCACTGCTCTAGCAGCCACGGCCGGGAGGGCCAGGGCTCCGTGCTGGTGTTTAAGTTTAGGGGCCAGACCCCTGGGCACGTAGGCAAATACATACTCCTCAGCGTTAAAAAAAGAAGAAAAGAAAAGAGAAAAAACCACCTAGGAGATCTGAAACAAACCACGTGGAACTTCTAGGAATGACCAGCGCCATCCCAGACTAAGACCTGGACAGCCGCCCTGAGCCCCTGTGGTGGACAGAGCTCGTAAGCCAGAAGACAGGTCACGAGACAATGCCCCGGATGCGGTCCAGAGCGACCAAAGGTGGGAAGAGCGTTGGCCGCAGAGTGGGGCGGCTGAAGGCCCGAAGGGCTGTCCTGAGGCCGCGCGGAGCCCAGTCGCAGGAGGTGGGGACAGGGGGGTGTCAGCGGGAGGCCCCCTGTAACTTTGAGGGGCAGGCCTGGCCTGGGGTCCCGGGCTCACGGGACGCCGCCCGCTCGGGGAGGCCGGCTGTCACGGGAGTGAGTGGTCGTGCGGACGCCCCTGTGTCCGCGGGGTCCGCGGGTGTGTAGCCTGGCCCTTCCTCTGAGCCTGCTGCCCGAGTGCTGAGCCCCCCCACCCCAGGTCCTCGCCTTCCTTCCCCACTGGGCCTGGCTGGGTGACTCAGTGCCTGGTGGGGGCAGGCGGCAGGGCTGTCCGCACACCTCTCCAGGCCTGCTCTTGGTGTGGCTGTGAATGGTGGCCGGGAATGTGGCCCACCGCCCGCCCCACGGATCCCAGAGCGCCACTCACCCTGCCAGCCCCCCCCCTGTGCTTCGTGCCACCAAGCTGAGGCCAGGACCCTACGGCCGGGGTCAGGCCCCTCTGTCCTGCCCTGGCCGGTACCCTGTGCTCTCCGGGGGGTGGGTGGGCAGGTAATTAGCCCCCAGAGAGGCAGCTGCTGCATTAGGAAGTTCAGAGCGAGGGCAACATGCTCACAGAGGCCAGGCCGCAGTTATCCCAACCGAGGTCGGTGCCCGGCTCGGGAGCTCCCCGGGCTGAGCAGGAAGAAGCTGTGGCTGTGGGCACTGTCGGCAGACCCCCAGCTGAGGCTCAGCCACTCGGGAGGATGCAAAGTGCAGGACCAGTGTGGGGCCCTCCTGACCACGGGTGCCCTGCACGGCTGCCCTGCACAGCTGCCTTCCCACGAGCCTGCTGTGCTCCTGCCGGTGGCCGGTCTCCCCCACTGTCCCCCATCTCTCCCTCCTGGCTGGCGGATCCGGGAGAGCCGGGCAGGAGAGGTGTGAGGCTCTGGCCCGAGGGCTCGGCTGGGGAAGCTGTCCACCGTCTGTGGGGGCTGTGTCACTAAAGAGAGCCCTGGGCCTTCCCAGACCCGGTGGACTGTGGGCTTTGGGGCACAAGGTTCAGAGGCATGGCACTGGGGGCCAGGACCCCCCTGAGTTGACAGCCCAGCCAGGACCTTTGGATTTGGTCCCAGCCAGGGGCTGGGGAGGGGGCATGGGCCCAGCAGAGTCTTTGTGTCCCCCTCGTTTGCGTCTAGGACCCAAACGCTGTGCAGTCCAGAGAAAATGGAGATAGGATTAGGGCGGCCTTTGGAGGGGATGGGCTTCAGGTGTGCACTGGGGGCTGGGGTAGGTGTGAGGCCCCGGGTGGGTCCCCGGCCAGGCTGTGCTGGGAGAGGTGTGGAGGCTGGAGCAGCCCCAGGCAGCAGGCCCTCTCTTTGAGAGCAGGGGACCCAGAGAGCCCCGCTGCGCCCGCTGGGTGCAGGTTGGCCTGTCCACAGTGACCACCGATGCAGGTCCTGAGCACAGACGGGGTCCCCAGGCTCATGGCAGGGAGGGTGTGTGCCCCAGGCTCATCTGCAGGGTGTGCACGGGGGAGCAGGGAAGTCCCCACTCACGGGAGGCGACAGAGAGCAGAGCTCCCAAGTGAGCAGCCGCGGGTGGAGCAAACCCGCCAAGTCAGGACAAGGAAGAGAGGCTGCAGAGGCCGTGACTCTGGAGAGTGTGACGGACGCTGCCCGCGGGAGAGGCCGGTGTTCAGTGGAATTGGGGGGATGGATCACTTAACAGGTGGCTCCCTGTGGCACAACAGAACTCACGACGGTGTGAGTATAAGCAGGAAAGCTGATGAGAAGTCACCACTGTCCTTTACAATCCAACAAGGAGCAGACATCCCACAGAGAAGCAGGTGAAGAATATGGATGAAGAAGCGAGTCCAACTGCAACAAAGAAGAAAGCATGGTGGGGGCGCCTGGGTGGCTCAGTCATTAAGCGTCTGCCTTCGGCTCAGGTCATGATCCCCGGGTTCTGGGATCGAGCCCTGCATCGGGCTCCCTGCTCGGCGGGAAGCCTGCTTCTCCCTCTGCCACTCCCCCTGCTTGTGTTCCCTCTCTCCCTGTCTCTCTCTGTCAAATAAATAAATAAAATCTTAAAAAAAAAAAAGAAAAAAGAAGAAAGCATGGTGGGCAGTTCCACGTTCTGACCCCCGGAACCCGTCAGCGTGTGGCCTCGCCGGCTGTTGACGGGGGGAGAACCCGGAGCCAGGGAGGAGGTCCTGGGCCGCGCGGTGGCCCCGTGGGGTCCCACAGCGGAGCCTTAGAGAAGCCTCCCCTGGCTGCGCTGAGGGGGGCCGGCCGGGCACGGGTGGCCCGAGGAATGCGCTGGCCAGTCGGGAAGACAGGGGAGGAGCCTGTGGGTGCCTCCAGCAGGGGACAGAGCGAGGAAGCCGCTGTCCCCCAGAGCCTCCAGCAGGGAACGACACCCTGCCGACACCTCGATCGTGCCCCCCGGGAAGACACTACATCATGGGGTCTTAGGCCCCTGAGCCTGTGTAGGCTTGTGGCGGCCGCCGCCGTCGGAAGCGAACACAGCAGGGAGAGCACGGAGAGCTGCTGCGTTCCGGAGGGTCTGAGACCTGCTGACCTAGACGACTGTGAAGCAGCACCTTGAATCTGTCCAAACCAGACCGGCTGCTGGTGCCTGGGAGGCTGGTGCCCAGTGGGGAGGACGCCCAGACTCGGGCGCAGGCGAGGCGCTGCCTCCCGGGGAGAGCCGCTCCTCCCCGCGCCTCCGCCCGCGTGTCCAGGGCGTGAGGCCTTCGGGGCAGCCACGTGGGAGCACCCAGCTGACGGCCCTGAGGCCAGGGCGCCTGTGTGTGGCCGCGTGGACTGGGGGACACAGCCAGACCCCACCCCCGCCGTCTGCGCTACAGCGGGCCTCCAACAGCGCCGCTGTGGTCAGCGGGCCTGCTGCCATGTCCCCGCTGGA